GGGCACCACGGCGGAGCTGCCATGCAGAGTTTTGGCATGGGACCCCCCATTCCTGTATCCCGGGAGGTCTTGTCCAGCCGAGTGCTTGGCCCTGACCCCCTCAAAGCGCCACGAGGGGGTTTGGGTGGGTGTGGAGTCTCCCGGCAGTGATCACAGGCTGGGGCACGTCCCTTTTCGGGAGCTTTTAAGCAGGGCCTGGAGAGTTTCAGCCCTTTCCCCGTCAGGATTCCAGTCCTTTCTGCTTGCCCCCCGCCACCCCTTCCCCTCCGGGTTCTCCAGGGCTAGAAATGCCCCACAGCCCCCCAGAACAGATGGCAACTGCGACCACAGCTCCGAAAGCCCCCAAAAGCCGGCGGCTTGCTAGGCCATGAGCGGAAGGAGCAGCCTCAAGCGCTGCTGGGACTCCACCATCACATTGCCATCTAGCGACGTCCCTGCCGGTGGATGGAGAGCGATTCTGGGCCAGCACGGCTCGGGGTCCCTTCCCAGGGCAGGGGGTCCCAATCCCAGGGCAGAGGGACCCAATCCAGAACATGGAGACCCCCTCCCTGGGCACAGGGACCTTATTCCCAGGCCATGGGACCCTGTCTTAGGGTACTGGGACCCTCTCCAAGGACACAAGGACCCTGTTCCCATTCATAAGGACTTTATTCCCACGCCACAGGACCCCATCCTAAGATATAGGGACCCCATCCTAGGACACAGGGATCCCATCCTAAGATATAGGGACCCCATCCTAGGACACGGGGACCCTGTCTTAGGGCACAAGGACCCCCTCCCCACACCCCACTCACACTCAATTGCACCCGGGCACCCCATCTCCCCTCTCCAAACCTGGTGGCAAGGCACCCGTGCCATGGGGGGGACACACGCTGCAGCCCCCCAATGTCCATGTCCGCAGATGAGAGCATCCCTGCCAGACAGACAGACATCCCCTGGCGCCTCAAGCAGATGCTGGACATTTTGGTGTACGAGGAGCAGCAGTGCCCGGCGGGCGAAGCGGGGCCGTGCCTCGAGTACCTCCTGCAACACAAGGTCCTGGAGACCCTCAGCACCCTGGGCAAGGCAGAGGTGGGTGCTCAGGCCCCAGGAAAGCTGCTTTTGGGGGTCCCGAAATCAGCCCCCACAGCCTTTTCCAGCTGCTTTGCATGGTGCTGCTCGGTGTTTTTCATTCTGAAGCTTTTCTAGCTGGGCAATGGGAGTTTGTGGAGCATGGTGGGGTGCTGGGGTTATTTTTTGGGAGGGGGATTGCTTGGGTTCGCAGGACAAGGTGTTTTTAGGCAGCCCTCTCTGTAAATATTGCCCAAATATTTTGGCTCTGCTATTCCTGTGTTGTTAATAATAACGAGGCTCCCTATAAATAGACTTTTATTTAAATAGAAGCAAATGCCGGCGTGGTGTGGGCTTCAGAAACAAGTGATGGCCCTTCTGTGGTCGTGAGGATTTGGGATTTTTGGGGTGCTGGGCTGTAGTTCCCCATCTCTAGCCCTGTAGCAGCAGGAAAGGGGAAATAATCCCTGTTAATTTTATTTTCCCTGCAAGAAAGCTCAGTTTATGGAGCTGAATTCAGCCCCTGAGAGGAGCCTGGGGTTGGTGGGAGGTCCTGGGTGGGGGGGGGGTCCACACATCATTTTGGGGGAGCAAAAGCAGGGTCTGTGCTGAAAGCGTTACCACAACGTTATCAGCATGGGGGGGATGCTGCCTTGCTGGGCAATTTGGGGTGATTACGGGGTACCTGGGCTCTCCTTGATGCCTCTACCCCCCCAGTATCCCCCCGGGATGAGACAGCAGGTCCTGCTCTTCTTCAGCCGGGTGCTGGGGCAGGTCCAGCACCCACTCCTGCACTACCTCAACGTGCACCGGCCCGTGCAGGTGAGCCCTGCACCCATGGGGGTTGCTTTCTGGGGACCGATGCAGGGTGGGAGAGCATCCATCAGCCTCATATCCCTCTCCCTGCCCCGGCAGAAGCTGCTCCAGCTCAGCGGCCATCGCCTGGGCTCTGGCACCGAGAAGGAGGTGGTGCAATTCACAGCCGTCCTCTGCTCCAAAATTAAGCAGGATCCCACCCTGCTGCCCTACATCCTGGAGGTGAGCAGCTCCCCGGGCATCCCCGTGCTGGTGGGATGCGTTTTGGGGTCATTTGATGGGGTTTGGCTTGGTTAAGGGGGTTTTTTCAGGTGCTTTGCAGGTTCGTCCTCACTGCAAAGGGTGAACGGGAGGAAGATGTTGGCTATGGTGTCACTGTCCCTGGAGAGGTTAAAAAATGTGTAGATGTGGCATTTGGGGACATGGTTTAGTGGGGTTGAGTTGATGGTTGAACTTGATCTTCAGTCTTTTCCAGCCATAATGATTCAGTGATGTTTTGCTGCTCTACTTTCTTTCCAGGGCAAGAGCATCCTAAATGGGAGGAGAGCCCCAGAGGTACCAACCAGCCCCGTGGAAGAGGGCGCAGAGCATCCCCCCACTGCTGGATCCCCCCCAACCGAGCCCTCTCCGCCACGGAGGGACACCAACCTCATCACCGCCTTGGTGGGGCTGTGCAAGAGCCAGGTAGGGGGCAAAGGGCTGGCAAAGAGGGGACTGCAGGCACCAGTGGGGTGACACCACCTCTCCCTCCTCCTCCTCCTCTTCCTCGCAGAAGAACAGGGTGGCACTGAAGGCTCGGGAAAACCTCCTCTCCCTCATCAGCATCGCCCAGGAGGCGCCCGCCGCCTGCCTGGTGCGGGGCAGTGCCCTGTG